TATATATATAGTGAAGAATAATTTTTACCTTATAATATATATATATATAATGAAGAAGGATCCACTTACTCTAGGAGTAAGTTTACCTTTACTCAATAACTCATTTTATATCAAATTTTAACAATCCAATCGTTGAATTAATTTTTTTCATACATAAATTAATTCTACAAATTTTTAAAAAATTAAAAGTTATTTAATATTTTATTTTATTATTTCAAATTAACGTGTAAAATATTTTTATAATTATTTATCAATTTAAATTAATGAACTAAAGTATAAATAATTTTTAATTTTAAATTTTTTTTTCATACTTAATTAATCTTGTATCAAGAACTTTAATTCAACAAATAAATTATTAAAATTTAATATAAAATTTAAGTTATTTAATGAAATAAGTTCAGGTAAATTTTTTCTTAAAATGAATATATCCTCTAGATACTTACATATAGACATACACTTTATTAGTAGCCAATTAATTATGTTCCACAACCAACTAATAATGAAGAGACAAAATTTGCACAAATGGTGAAAATACAATTAAATATTTATAGATAAAACTTATCTCTAATTAGATATCAACTCTAAGATAGATGAACACAAAAATCAATTAAACAAGGTCTCCATAAATTTTACCCAAGTATACTGAAGTTAATATTTGGGGTGTTGTTGGTAACAATGGAAGGCAAAACCACAAACCTGAAGAAGCCAAGGGAGAGGAGAACGCAGGTTCTTTTTCTGCAAATGGAGAAGCCAGAGGCCAAGGAGCCGAACACCATCAACAGCAAGGCAAATCCGTACACGCGCCGCCGCCCCTTGAGGTCACCGAGTCTTCCGAACACGAGTTGGCCGATGGCGGTGCCGAACAGCGCCACGGCGACCAAGGCGGAGGCGACCACCGGCGGCGTCTGGTTCCCCCGGTCTTTGTAGTATATCCTTCCGATCATCTTGATGATGAGAGTGATGGAGAAAAGGTCGTAGGCGTCGGAGAAGAGCCCCATCCCTGCAATGATGATGGCCTTGAAGTGGTAGTATTGTGTCCTCGCTGTGTCTAGGGCTGACAACACCTTCAACCTCGCCATTCTGCTACGTGCCAAAGTTAATGTACGTTTAACTTTGTTATGGCACTTTTGTACCTACCAATTACCATGGTATTGCTATGTAGCTGCTGACTTTGCTTGATCTCATCATATATATGGATAGAATGTGGAAGGAAGAGAGGCTCGGAATAATATAAGGGCAAAAAATGTTTGGCTTTTGCGGGGAAATTTCGGCCTTCTTTGTGCTCTTTGTCTTGTGGGATTTGTGGTAATTTTCGACGAAATTGAGGCAAATTAAATTAATTATGTTTGTTTGTGACAAGTACTTGAACTATATAGGAAGCTTGCTGGAAAGGATAATAGTGTTGAGAACCAATTAGCTTTGGAGTCAAACCTATTTCTGCATCATTCTATTAAATATGCGAATCAAATTCATCCTCGAATCATTTTGAATTCATTAATATGTATTTGACTGGACCATTTTAAGATATTTTAGAGTTGCCGGCCATAAGGGGTCGAGTTTTGCAGTTTGCCCCATTTTTTTAGTGGCAGGGTTTAAACTATGAAGGTAACACGTTACATTTGTGTAACTAACTAAAACCCCATACATAAAATTCAGCCACGTATAAAATGTTAAAATCATATTTTATTTCTTCTTTAATTAATTTAGCTTTATGACATCTTTTGAATTTATTTGAATGTTATAAAAATTAATGCTTTGAGTTTATTTAGAACATATTTTCACGAGAGAACTTGTGTAGAGTTTATTTGAATTTATAAAAATAGTTTGAGTTTCACAATATTTTTTAACGTTTATTAATGTTTTTGATATATTTTATCGAAATAAATAATTTGTAATCTATTCTAATATGTTTTATAGTTAAATTTAAGAAATGATGTAACATCCTAAGTTTCTAAATAACACTACAAAAAAAATAACCTGTGCCTACAGACACTTTTACCTATAGACCTGAATTAGTGTAGGTAAAACTAAAAAAAAAATTTACCTACAAATGTTTAATGTAGGTATAACTCAAAAATCTATACCCATTTTTATTTGGTATAGGTAAAACTCAATACAACTTAAAATTCTTCTACCAACAAATTGTCAATGTAAGTAAAAGCCTTCAAAGACTTATGCCTACTACTATTTTAGGTAGGTAAAAAATTTACAAAATTTATACCTACAGTTATTTAATATAAATAAAAATCCATGTAAAACAAATAAATAATTATATATAAATAATACTAACCCGAAATGTATTTCTTTCATCATTTTTTGTAGGTTAGAAAAATTTTGATCACCCCTAATCGCAACCCAAATGTAATTCTAAAATAGTTTTTAGAATGTTAAAATTTAATTCAAAAACCTGATTTCTAGCAAGAAGTATTTACAAAAAAAAAAAAAAAAAAAAAAAAAAAAAAAAAAAAATACAAACGAATATAGTTCCTATTACGTGTATGGTGTCACAGGAAAAGAAGTATCTATTGCAAAAGGGCCATGTATGGTGAGGCCCATCATACAGAGCCGCCCAACCCAACCCCAAAAGCTACAGCATATACACAGTTCTATATAATCTATTTAATTCAAAAACCTGATTTCTCGTTCTGAATTGCTCCGCACCCCTTGCTCGTCTCCGTTCTCGAATCATGTCTCCATTCACAGGTTTCTTCCTCATGAATCTCCTACAGCTTATTTGTTTCTTCTAATCTAGGTTTTTGATTCATATAATCCTACGTCCTCTACTTCATTGCGCTTTACTTTCGAATTTTATCTCGTACTCTTTTTCTTCGAGTCTAATGTAAGATTTGTTTATTGATACTGAGTTTGCTAACAGATATCCAAGAAGCACTCACAGATCTTGTATTCGAACGTTCACCAATTTATCAATAGGTATTTTATATCTTCTCACTCTTGATTTAATCAACTAACTTATTTTAATTTTACTTCTTATTCCAAAGAAATTTATCTGAACCTACTCTTAATCAACTAACTTAGAAGTGAGAACTACCTAAAAGGTCTGAAGGGATCTTGCCATTGCAAAACCTTCCTGTGGGTTTTCCGTCTAAGAAATCCCTCCCATATGGTTTGCGGTTTGCATTTATTATTGTTTCAATATGATTGTTGTTGCCTGTATCCAAGATTGAATCACCAAAAGCTATAACAGCAGGAACGTCAGGGTTGCTATATTTTGTTTGTGATATGGCTGTTACAGCAAATGAATAAAATAGAACAACAAATAGATTGACATAGAGAGATTTAACAGTGGTAAGCTTCATCATGTGAGTTTAAATTTCACTCTTCTGCATACAAATTTATAATTGTCATGGTCATGACATATTATGTTGATTGGAATTCAATGAGCATTTACTTGTTGGTAACAGCTACCTAAGTGATGCAGCTGAGTAATCCAACCATTAGAAAATCTTGTGTTCAAGTTTTGTACGAAAGATGGCTCATACATATAATGTGTTTCCTTAAAAGAAGTACCTGTTAGTTGGTATCACTAGTAGGTTGGGTAGCGCATTCATTATTGATTCACATTCTATCCTCGGGCGGGAAGGACTCAGTCTCAAAGCTCTTTTGCCAGCTTAGCATCTTGATGGTCTGTTCAAAATCGAAATCCCGATCTGACCAAGCTTTCGTCAGTTGATTATGTCAAAACGGAGAACAGAAGACCTGCTTTTGTTCCAGTTTCTGATTCAAGAATGTCTGTTCCTATTGTTCTTGTAATCTCTATCACTTTAGGAGCATTTGTGATGAACAACATGTTGCTATTGCTACTAATAATAGCAGCTTTAGGAGTGGTTGATTGGAGGTGGTTAGCATGAGTCATGAGAAATGGAGAATTAGCAACTCAACACGTTTAGTGTGGTTATTGCATGACACTTGTCAAGGGATTGATCGGTGAAAAAGGAAGAGACAAGAACAATGTATATAGGATATCACACTCTTTTGCATGCCATAGGATATCAACACGTTTTGTATCTGAAAGCTGGGAATAATATGTATATAAGATATCACACTCTTTTGCATGCCATAGGATATCTCATGTTTTTTTCTTAACACCTTTATCACTTTTTTTTTTAATCTCTCTATTCAATCTAGCCTTGTAGATTCTAAAATAGGGTGTACATTCCTCATCATCCACCGAAAAATTGTAATTAGTCTCTTTCTTCTTATATGTAGTAGTATTTCATTAGTACCATTAGTAATCACTTCATGCTTGCCCAACCATTGGAATTACGTACGAGTTGAACATTAATTATAATAGCTTTAATAATCATTTGTTCCGTGCAGTACGTGTCTTAAAAGTTACAAAACAGAGTGTAAAGATAGGAAAACATACTTGAAGAAAAAGCATTTGAGAGAGAGAGAGGTGCATGTTAATGTGATAGGTGTAAGTGTAATTAAGGCAGAGACAAGGAGGGAAGGGTGGTTGGAGAGAGAGATAAGAGGGAAAAGAAAAGGTGAGTGAAAGGTGTGTGACGATAGTGCTGCCAATGTTTAAATTAGTATACATTTAAATTACACCAAGTCAGAATCCCACCTTAACATAGATATACCCTTCACTTCTAATTAATATACATTTAAATTGCTTTGTTTGTTGGATTTTTTTTTCTCTTTTTAATAAAAAGTTTTTATTAGAATAAAATATGACTTTATGTAAAGATAAAATTAACTATTAATCTTTTTTGAGAATTTTTAGTATAACTATATATCATTTACTCCATATCTAATGCAAATTTGCATGAAAGGAAACAAAATACAGCAAAATTGTTTAAAACTGATGTTTAGGAATTAGGATAGTGATTAAAGAAATAATATGAGAATGATTTAACTTTTATGTCATTCTATCACTAGTTTATTGAGGCCATTTCACTCAATTTTTTTCCAGTTTATTGTATCAAATGGATAAGAGTTGGATACATGACAACTCTCTAAATAAAGAGAAGTACATTAGAGGGGTTCTAAATTTTCTTGATTTTGCCTTTGCTAAATCTTCCAAGGATGGAAAAATTTTATGTCCTTGTACTAAATTTTTACCCACGCATATTGCAAATTGTAGGTAGTTCTTATAGTGACAGTCAAATATAGTTGTAGGTAAAATTATGTCTGTAGGTAAAACTTATAGTGATAGACTATTAGTTGTAGCTATATGCCCCCTCAAAGTTGACAACTTCAATGTCTGTAGGTCAAAGTCCATGATACCTTTACCTATGGAATTTAGATTTTTAGTGACATTTTTTGTGTGTAGGCATAAGTCATTTTTCTTGTAGTGTAAATTAAAATGATGTTTTAATTAATTAAAGGTTTTTTTTATATAAAATAACTTAGAGGTTTTTAAAATAATTATGAGTGCTTTTATTAAATATAGAAAGACTTGTGAAATTATTTTATTATAATGAATATTTGGAGGAAAATATGTGTTTTAATTAATTTTATAATCAAGTGCATCGAAGAAAATATGATTTAGGTTGTAGGTTATTTACAAATATATTTTATTTTATTTGAAAAGAAAATAAGGGTAGGAATAGTTTTATAAATTAAGAGCATAGACGACTTACCTTTCTTATTTTTTGACGTTTATGCTCTTCTCTATTTTGAAGAAACTAAGGAACTGCCCAGAGATTTGGAAGGCAACCACCTCGAAGGCTTGAGTTTGTTCATTGAGGTAAAGGGAAGTGAATAGTCTCGTTCTATGGTGTGGGTTATATGTTGGATAGTCAGATTAATATTGACTCTCAATTTCTTTTTTGTTCTTCTATGTTGTGAGAGAGAAATCACAATTCTAATTTATAAACCGTCAATTTGTGTTTCGTACTCTTATATGCATGATTGAGATACATGTGTAATCAATTTCATGTGAATCGAAAAATATGTACAATCTATGAGTGTCTCTAGTTCTCGTAAGAAATCTTGATTTATAGAACAAATTAAAGTAAATGTTGATATTAATTGCATGAATAGGTAAAATTAATGTTTTTTTGAAACAACAAATAAAATATATTAATATTTGGGCACTAGGGATGCCACCCATATTTACAAGAGAGTTTTGGCTTATCAGAATAATATGTTCCTACTTCTATATTCTTGATGGGTCCGTTTTACATATAATCTCATGGATGTAGAAAAATAACCTTATCTTCTAAATTGAACTTCCTCGCATACCTTCAGTCTTTTATATCTAAGTCTATAAACAAGCTCCTGGATTGACAATCCACTGTTGATAGCTGTACTGGAATGAGCTGTCCATTGATAACCATAGCTAAGAAAAATAAATTATGTCTTGATATGTCTTTTCCTTTAAGAACTGTACTCCTCTAAATCTAGAATTGTTCTTTGCCTTCCATATATTCCAAGAAACTGCACACCATATCACCTGCCATCTGTTCCTTTCTTTGTTTGAATTCACTTGATAAGGTTGTTGAAGAAAATGTTGAACCAAGTCTTGTGGCATAACTGTTGCTTCAGCTACCCAACCGTATATATCCTTCCAGATTCTGTCTGTGACTGCACATGAGAACATTATATGCTTTGTAGTTTCTTCTGCTTCCCCACACAAAATACATGTTGCATTTACATCTTGTACTTGTATGTTTCTTCTCCTTAGGTTGTCCATAGTTGCCAAGCTATTGTGTTGCATCTTCCAATAGAATATTGCCACTTTCGGTGGGATTTTCATCTTCCACAGAATGTTGATAAATGGGCTAACATTGTTACTTTGGATTGTTGTTATTGCTTGGATTGCTTCATATGCTGATTTGATATAGTAATTACCATGAGTGTCATACATCCACTTCCATGTATCTATTTGTCCATGTCTTAAACTTTGTCCTTGTACCAATGTTTGTAATGTTTCCCACTAATATGGTTCTCTGCCAATCCATGCTCTTCTCCATTTGAGTTCCCAATGCCATTTATTAGCTATCCACCTTCCCATTTTCGCTAATGTCACCGTCTTGTTGTTCCGAGTTTAAGTATAGCCTCGGGAAGCTTTCCATCAATGGCTGATCCCCTATCCACTTATCCGCCCATAAACGACCCTTATCCCCTTGGCCGATGAACCATTGATACCCTGAATTGAACCAGTGATTCTGATTAGGTCCTCCACATACCTTTTTTAAATCCTTCCACCATACAGACGATGTTGATAGGATCATTTCTTCCTGTAAATCTTTCCATCCTTCATATCTTGATGTCAGAACTTTACACAACATAGAATCAGTTTGGTGAAATAATCCCCGTCTCCACTTGCCTAGCAAAGCATCATTAAATTTGTGTAGGACCTTGATTCCCAATACACCTTGATTCTTTTGTTTGCATATTTTCTCCCAACTCACCCATGAAATTTTTTGCTCACCATTCTTTGAACCCCACAGGAAATTTCTCTGTATACTTTTCAATTTTGCAACTACTTAATTGGGAATCTTGTAAAATGACATGTAATAAAGAGGCCATGAAGATAAGACCGAGTTTATTAAACATACCCGTGTTGCCATTGATAAGAATCTTGATTTCCATACTGCTAACTTCTTAGAGAATTTGAGTATTACTAGCTTCCACATCTCTGTCTTTCTAGGATTAGCCCCTATAGGTATCCCTAAATACAGAAATGGAAGTGTCATACTACGACAATTCAGTGTATATGCAAATCTTTCCACCTCCACCTGTTGTATCCCAATAGCTACAAAAGAGCTTTTATTAAAATTTACCTTCAGACCAGACACCAATTCAAAGCATCTTAAGATACATTTTATAGTGAAAATGTTGAACTTGAGTAATTGATGGTATAATAGAATAGTTTTAGGCATCAATTTATGTCTTTATCGATTGAATTGAGAGAAGTGGGTTTTGGTGTGATTTTTTATGTGTGATTAATAAAATTAAATTTCGATTTTTGAGTTAGAAAATAAACATTTAGGATTATAATTTAGACTCAAGAGTAACATAAAAATATGTTGGGGTTATTTTGTGAGCTTATTTAATAAGAAGATATATTTATATCTATGACACCCTCTACCCCAACATACATATACAACATTTATAAAAACATATTCTTGGTTTAAATAAAATCTTTAGAATTAAAACAATGAATCCATTAACATAAGAGTAGAGAATTCACATTCGTAAACTTCAAACATGGTCAAATGCGAAATTGATAGAAAAAAATGAATCTTTTCCAAAACAAAATAACAATAAGGAAATCCTAAACTAAGCCTAGTTATGCCCCGATGTCACATATCCTATCAGAGCGTGCCCAACTGAAGCCTAAGCCTCGTCACCAACATTCTCATGCTGATGATCACCTGTAACACATTTTAAACACATACAAAGAACAACAAGGGAGTGAGAAACATCTCACTCATGTTCAGGTGTAGAAATAAATGTTAGATAACACAGACACAACAAACATAATTCACAAGCACAAATCACATGTAAACAACACACATACACAATCAATATCACATGCATACTCATTTATCATGCAATGATGTCATGGACTCGACTCGTAAATGCATGCATGTGGCGCCATACGGAAGTTCCACATTTCTCATCATTTCATCACTAGTGACCCAAGGTACACCTAGAATAGCTTGTTACATCACTGGTATGCGGCCTAAGCGACACACCTGGAATAGATCATATATGCACATGATGCATGTCACACATTCACTATTTCATTACTCTACATTTCACTTGTCATGGAATTTCATGTCTCATTTCGTCACATTTCACATTCTCATAATCATAGCTTATCTCAAAAGTTCATATTTTACATAGTCATATTCATAATTGTTCCTCATAGGGTTCCGTACAGGAACCCACAGAGCACTCTAATTCATATCAAAACTTATCTAATTTTGAAATCAAATACATATTTACACTCTACATCATACTAGGAACACAATAGAACAATCAGAAGGCAAAATAGAAAACATTTATATTTGGCTTGTTTCTGCCATAGTGCTCTATTTATAAATTTCAGGAGTGGCCAGAATGGCCCGTTTCAGATCCGAGATGGCCCGTTCTGAATCTTTTCATCATGTGGAAAATTCATATCTGGAATGGCCCGTTCTTAAACCAGAACGACCTGTTCCGGAGATGAGTTTTAACTCACAACGTCCATATTTGGAACGACCCGTTCCCAACTTTGGAATGACCTATTCCCAACTAGGGTTATAAACTATTTTGGTGGTTTAGAACGACCTGTTTCAGATTGGGAACGGTTCGTTCTGGGCTACCAAAAATAGGTCTTTTTAGTAGATTGGAACGGTCCGTTCTAGTTTGGGAACGACCCGTTCTGGGCTACTAAATCACCCTTAATAAATTTTATGAAAATTACTAAATCACCCTCAATAAAAAGTATGAAAACTGGGGTGTTACAATTCTCCCTGCTTTTAGAAATTTCGTCCCTGAAATTTACCGAAAACCTGAACAGATAAACTTCATGGATCTTGCTCTCTACTGCTAATTAATACTTTCCTAAATGTTTCCCATCATAAAATATACTAGTAGAAAATCCCATGTATAACCACACTACCTCACTGATACACAACTCTATCATTCTCCCTAAGGAATATCTAATATCAATAAGGATAAGACAAGCAAACTTGGTGAGTCTATTCACTAAAACCCAAAAAGAATCAAATTTCTTAAGTGTCTTAGGTAAATCGATAACAAAGTCCATCAACACACCATCTCACTTTCAAACTGGAACGTCTAAAGACTACAAAATTCCTACAGACGTCTGGTGTTCTATCTTAAACTTCTGGCATACTACACACGATTACACAAATTCCTCTACTCCTTTCTTCACCTTAGGCCACCATGCTTCCGCTACGCCACTCTGATACATCTTATAGCTCCTAAATGAATTCTAAGAGTACTCTTATGTCCTTCCTCTAAGATCATCTTCCTTAATTCGGGGTTACTAGCCACATAGATTTTATCTTTGAACCCCAAAACACCTTTAACTTCTACTCGTAAAGGGCTATCTATACTCCTACCAATCCTCTCCACTTGGTTCACTAAGAAAAGATCTAACTCTTGGGGTTCTCTAATCTCATTCATTAATCTATTAGTCTTTTCCAACATACTCAATCCAATGCTCTTAAGGGTGAGCTCACACATCACGCTTAAGTCTCTAAGCTCCTCAATCAAATCCAACTCTTACATCATCAAAAATGATAGATGAATGATCATCCTACTCAAGGCATCTGTCACAATATTAGTTTTACTTCTATGACCCTCTCCAAAGATCAAACACCTAAGTATAAGTTCACTAGGTACACATACTCGGTCTCAAAATCTTACTACTCCATCTACACCTAAGGCAAACTTTTATCCATTACCTTGTCCTATAGCCTCATATCTTGTCACCAAAATGAATAAACTAATTATGCTTCTCCAATTTCTTTCAACGATTTACTCGAGTCATACCTAATTTCACATTACTAGGAGTAATCTCACAAGTCAAACTTAAATCCTTAATTTGAGCCCAAAGATCCATCTCTCTAATCATAAGGGAAGATAAATATAAATGTTTCCTACTCAAAATATCGGTCACCACATTGGCTTTGCCCAAATAACAAATAAGATCAAAATCTTATTCCTTAAGAAATTCCAACTATCTCCTTTGTCTCATATTCAACTCCTTTGGTCAAAAGATAT